CTTCTGTGGGCTCGAAACCCTCCAGGCACAGTCTGAGGCCTGGTAGCTCCAGAGGGACCCCCTCCCCCCAGGACTTGCCCCACACCCCAGGCTCCACTCACCAGACAGGCTGAATCCCGACTGGTGCAGGTTGCGCACGGGGGGCACGGAGATCTTGCCTGGGCAGGATGCGCGGGCCTGGGTGCCACCTCCTGTCTTGGCAGGCACCACCACCTCATGGACCGGCCCATCATAGAGGCCCCGGGGCACACCGTGGATCTCTGCCAGCTAAGGGGTCAAGGGGCTGGGCATGAGGGGCTGCAATGGCCAAGCTGCTGGGGGAGCCACCCCCACGGAAGGGGTCTGCTCTGCACCCTGACTCCACCCAGCTCAGGAGGAGCCTGTGCCACAACCTCCTCACAGTGCCCCACGCCTGCGCACACTCACCCTCACGCCACGTGTCCTCACACACCCCAGCTGCAGGAGTGTGCTCAGAGAGGGCCACTGCAGGGCTGGCATGAGGCCCCACTGTGGCCCAGGAGGCCCCTGTCCCCAAAGAAGCCCTGAGACAGAGGCTCTGGGTCCACAGTAGGACAGAGGACCAAATGCGGCCCCCACTGTCCTGGCTCTCCTCTCTCCAAATGGACTCTCCACAGAGTCCTGTGCAGCTCCTGCCAGGCTCCATCCTGACCCATCCCACCCCTCAGAAGTGTGTGCTCTGGGCCTAGAACCTTCTCCAGCTCAGACACTGACAGTGGGGCGGTGCTCCGGGTGAGATGGGCAGCAGCCGCGTGAGGCCCGACAGTCCTGACGGCAGGGACACCAGGGGAACCAGCGCCCAGCCCTGGCCTGGGAGACCAGCTTGCCGGTCCAGCCCCCAGGCCTACCCTGAGTTCAGAACCTCCTCCTGCCGAACCCAAGCAGAGCTGGGGTAGAGTGAACCAGCGCGGTACTGTGTGCGCACGCGGAGGTGCAGGTGCCTGCGGTGGTGTGTGGGTGTGTGCACGTGGGAAGCACTGATGGCGGCCACAGAGCACGCCTCAGACACGGATGATCATGGGCAAACATGGCCAATGGGCATGGGAAGGGAAAGGCCGGGGAAAGTACGACGACTTTTAGGCTCATACAGGACTACTGCGAAAACTGCGCCCCACTGTGGCCAGGGGAGAGATCCTGGAGGGGTCCGTGACAACTCTTGGTGAGAAGGGTGCACTGCCTTAGTTGGTAGCCATGTCCCTGTAACAGCGGACTCCTTGGGTGACCAAGTGCTGCTGCCTGCCATCAAGTGGTGAGCTGCGGCTGGCGGGGTGCGAGGGTCCCAGGCCACAGAAGGCCTGGCTGTCCCCACATGTGCAGCCAACAGGCCCTGGGCACGTGACGGGCCCTCTCTGCTTTCCTGGTCCCTGGGGATCAGGGTCAGGCCAGCCAGGAGGCTCCCTGCTCCCTGGACAGAGGACCCCCAGGGTCAGGCCTTACCCTGTTGCGAGCTTTTATTCTCTTATAGACGAAGTCTGGGAATGTTTTCCGAGGAATGAAGCGGCCAGCCCCCGGAGTGGCACACAGGTTCCCGTCCTCCAGCACCACTCTGCCCTGACTTATGACCACGGAGGGGCCTCCTCGGCACTCGGATCCTTCAAAGATGTTGTACTCCACGTTCTGGGGAGAGAGATGCCCCGTCTAGCGCCCTGGCCCCGGCGCACCCCCAGGCCCGCCAGCACCACAGGAGGCCTGCCCGGGCTGGTGCCCAGACCCCAGGGAGACGCCGCGAGGCTGACACCGCCGATGTCCTGGAAGAATGCCCCCAACCTCCAGAGCGTCCCGAGTCACGTGGTCCTTAACGGACAAAGGGAGCAGACGCAGCAGGCGCAGCTCAGCCTGCTCATGTGCACCACGGACGGCAGGCCAGCCACCTCTCAGGCAGGAGCAGGATGAGCACTGGACTGGGGTGCTGGGCACATGCTCCTGGGCAGCCAAGGCCGCTGAGAGCCGTGCTGCAGGCGGGGACCCTGGAGCCTAGACAGAGAGGTCTTCCTCACCGAGCTGTGGCTCTTGGCAGAGAGGATCTTCGAGGCCCTGGGGTTCCAGATCACCAGGTCAGCATCGGAGCCTACAGCCACGCGCCCCTTCCTTGGGTAAAAATTGAAGATTTTGGCAGCATTTGTACTGGTCACGGCAACAAATTCATTCTCATCCATCTTCCCGGAGGCCTGAGAAGCGAGACAGCCAGCTGAGGGGCAGGGTGGACACCCCGAGGGCCCCAGTCGGTCAGGACCAGGAGGGTGTTCCGGCCCAGGGAGAGCCCAGGACTGAGGCCCGCGGGGCGGGGCAGGGCAGGGCCACAGAGGACAGGGCCCGCCCTCACTACCCTGTCTGTAACAACGAACTCCTTAAAAATGCTTCAATTTTTAATTAAAAAACCCATGTCAACAGGATGTCAGAGTCAGCAGGAGGGCGATGCTGCCTGGAGCTCTGGGCACTGTACCCCAAGGTGGGACAGCATGTGGGGGCCCTGGAGGCAGGTCTGGGACTGGGGATCCAACCTCTACTACGACACTGTTGGCTGTGGGGGCCCCTCAGTTCTGCTGACTGCCCCTCCCAGGGCCCAAAGCCCAGGCCTGGACTCACCACGCATTTTTCCCAGACTACAGACATGCGCTCCTCCACACCGTTGGTGCCCTCGGGGATCAGCGTGAAGTTATCTTTGCCAACAGCCTTCTGGGCAGTGGTGAAGGTGCAGTGGGCACTGCCCGTCACCTGGAGGTCCCCACTGGGAGCAAGCCAGGGTCAGAGGAGACAGGATCAGGCTTCCCTGAGCTGGCAAGACTGGGTGGGCTCCAGCCCACCAGGTAGTGGATCCACAGGGTCTGAACTGGTGTCTCAGGGCAGGGGGAGGGTGTGGGCAGAGACGCAAGGGGCCAAGAGCAGGGAAGGTCCTGTGGGAAGCCCCTGCTGGCCTGGGACTCTGCTCCTTCCCACTGGCTGCCCTGCAGGAGCCCAGGGCTCATGTGGAAAAGGCAAGGTGCACGGGCAGGGGTGGGGCCCGCGGGCTTCCTGGGCCTCCGCAGAGGGGCTGCTCACCTGGATAGCAGGGAGGTGAGGTGGTCTGCAGTGGTGGGGTCCGGGTTGATGGGGGGTGAGGTGACAAACGCCGCAGCCTTCGCCCAGTTCTTGCTCCAGTAGTGTGTGCCGTCAGCGCCCAGGCTGGCAGCGATGGGCTCCCCAAACACAACCAATCCTGCAGCAAGCAAGGCCCGTGAGGTGCCCACCTGCCCGCCTGCACCCCCGGGGCGGGAGCACAGCACGGCCCTCGACTGCTGCCAGCACCCCCACCTCCCTAGCTTTCCTGGCCAGGGGCAGCTTGTCTTCCCTTCTGTGGCCTCCGCCCTGGACAGGCCAGAGAGCGGTCCTGGGGGGCCCTCGGAACAGGAGTCTCTGCGGCTGACATGGGCTTTCTCCATACTCATGGTCTCTGCCAGGGGTCAGGTGGCCAGGCACTCCTGCTTTCCACGAAGCCAAAGGAGCTTCATGCTCCGAGACCAGCTCATTGCCGGCCCAGCTTGGCCTTTTGGTACAGCGGCTGACCAGACCTGGGCCCCTGGCCAGGGCTCTGGCTCATAACTGGTGTGGCCCCCACTGGTGAACAGAGGAGAAAAGGCAGGCTCAGAGGAGGGTGGGGTGCCTCAGAAGAGAGCCAGCCCTGCAGCGGTGGCTTCTTGGGGCAGGGGAGGTCCAGGCTAGCCCTTGCAGACCCCACTCACCCTGTGCCAGGAACAGCCTCACAGGCCCTCTCCCTTGTAAACAGACGGGGTTTCTGTTTCAACCCTTGGTGCAGAAAACAGGTCCAAGCACACACCCACCCTCTCAGAGCAGGTCCCAGAAATGAGTTCTCCGTGAGACTCGTGGGGATGGCAGAGGTGGGGACACGGGATGTCAGATCCCAGGTCCTTCCTAAAGACACTCCTCTTCTCCCACCACCTCAGTCCTAGGCCCATCGGTGCCTCTGCAGACCCTCTGAGCTCAGGAGCCTTTGGTGGGGACCACTTGGTCCAGCCCCTGCTGAAGGCAGCTACAGGATCCCGCCTGCAGAGCGTGTGTGCCCACCAGCTGGCTGGGCATGCTGTGGGCAGGGAACACCCAGCTCCTACATGCAGCCTGGCTCCTCTGACCCTAGCTGGTCCCAGTGGGGACTTCAGGTGGCAGGTAGCACCCACTGAACCTGCAGCATGCATCTTGGCTCCTGGACCCACAGCAGATGCCCACGGTGGGGCTTTCCTGGGGCATCACTAGGAGCCTCCCCCAGACACACACATTCAGCTGGCTCTGCCCCTGGGGTGGGCAGCTGCTGCTCCGAGAAGGCTGGGGACTCTGGCCCAGCCCCACCCTTGTGGGGTGCCAGGGTGCCTGCATCTCCTTTGGACCGTGCCACGGGTGTAACCCAGGCAGGACGTGTCCCATCAAGATGAGGGCCAGGCCACGCTTCCTTCTGCCCTCCTCCCCACCTGAGGGTCCTGGGGTTGGCCAGCAGGCATGCTCTGCCCCAGCATGCAGGGAAGCCAGGCCCACACTCACCCCTGCGCTTGGCTTGGGCGATCACATCGGCTGCACTCCTGCTCATCACCTTGGTGACATACAGTGGGCAGTTGGCCTGCTTGGCGATGGTGACAGCTCGGTACACAGCCTCGGCCTCCACCTGGGGTTGGGCAAGGGAGTGGGCACTCAGGCCACAAGAGGTCCCTGGGCCTTCCTGGCCAGTATGGGCTCTGGACTCCTGCTGATCACCCATAGAATTTGAGGCCCCAGAGGCACCCTTGATGGGGAAGGGGCCCAGCCTGAGGCTCACTGGTCTGGCATCAGGGCTGCCCTGTGCACGCCCCAGGGTCTGACCCCACTGACTTCCAGGGCTGAGGTTAAGGCTGGGAGATGACAAGTGGTCATGGAAGGGGGTGGCATGTGCCTGGCAGGGGCCCAGGGCTGAGCTGACGTCCACGCACGTGGTGCAGGCAGTTGGGGTGACGCACACACTGGGGCACAGATGCAGGCACAGACTCACCTCCTCGGGGTGGCTGAGCACGTGGCCCTCGGGGCCGGTGATACCTCGCTCCAGCAGGCGCTTCTGCTCCTGAATAAATCAATAAGGTGCCTCGCTCCAGCCCCAAGGGGACCTGAGCCCTGGAACTGAAGTTCTTGGCCACAAGCCCTACTCTCCAAGTGGAGTCCTGGCCCCAAGGCCTCCCAGAATACCCCAACCACGAAGAAGTCATGGAGGAGGGGGTCTTGGGGGGCGCTGACTGGCAGGCCTGAGACACCTTGGCCCTGCCTGTCACACCACATTCCTCCCACAAAGTACATTTGGGGTCAGCATGGGGGCAGGGGCCCTGCAAAGTCAGGGGGTGGACAAGTGCTCTTCCGCCAGCCCTACCATCCTACAGGGACTGTGCAGAGCCTCACTCCTGCACAGAGGACACAGATACTGACGGTGGCATCCACACAGGAGAAGCAGACCCCAGAATGAGTCCCTGACACCCTCTGCCTGCCCATGAGTGCACTGGGCACTCTTGACCCATGACGGTCTCCTGATGGTGTGGCTGGCCTGGCCCCTGATGAACTCAAGGCCAGGTAGTGGAGAGGGCAGGGACCCCACCTGCTCCTCCATGGGAATCACCACTGTTCTGTCCAACTGGAGAGCAGGCAAGGTTGGCCCCTCCCACAAAGTCTTTATGGAATCTCAGTGATGTGTGTGGAGTGCAGTGACCCCTTCTAGGCTGAGGGGATGGCTGACCTGAGCTCTCTGAACCTCCCAGGCCCCCACTGCACTGGCATGTCTGATGCCTCAGCCAGAATCAGTGCTGGACCAACAGCTGGGTGTCCAGCCCCACAGCGTCGGGCAGTCTGGGGTACGTGTGAAGGACAGGGCTGCCACGCCCCAGGGACCACGTGCTCCTATCTGCATGCCCTCCTCCTGGCCCGGCCCCTGCAGCACCTCCTCCACGATGTCCCCGTTCTCTGCGTGCACCTGGGCCACCGCTCCCAGGTCCCGGATGATGCTGAAGATCTCATACATCTGGGAAGAGAAGTGGATGGGGTCCAGTGTCTGCCGGGCAGTGACCTAGGACACCCCTGCCTGTCTCCTTCTCCCACACCTGCCTTACCTGGCCGTCAGTACACTGGCACCTGTCCTTATATGACATGAAGACCAGGAAGGAGTTCACACCTGGAGGAGAGGCAGGAGGGGTCAGACAGCCTGGGAGGCCTCTGCTCCCCAGAGGGGGCTGGGCGGGGGGCTTCTCACAGGAGCACTGCAGCTGGCACAGCCACCCTGAGGGCATTTCCCCACCCACAAGCCGGGACGGGGGCTTGGGAAGCATGGCTCCCCCAGGCTCAGAGGCAGGCGAGAACCCCACTCCCGTCTACAGACCTCATGGCCAGAAGGACCAGAGCCCTGGGGGGCACTGAGTGCCGCCTGTTCTAGGGGAAACCTCAGGGCCCCGTGGGGAGCGCTGAGCTCTCTGGTTTCCTGGGCAGCAAGAGTCCAGCCCTCTCCCAGGACCAGGGCCCTCATGGTCCCTCTGAGGCCAGAGGTAGCCCTGACCTGCCCAGCATCCAAACCCACAGAGCCTGCCCTTCCTCAACAGGACGGAAGTGCTGATACGATGGCCTGGTGTGCTGCAGGGAAACCAAGTCATCCAGTGCCATCGAGCCACCCTCCCAGTGACCACGAGCGTGTGACCTGGGGCTTGGGGTCTGTCCCAGAGTATCTGACCTAGGCTGCCGGTCAGGATGAGCCCATCCCTGGAACACTGTCCAGGAACAGCAGACCATGGCCTGCACCTGGTGCCGCTCTGGCAGGGTGAGGGGCTCTGCTGGTGCCTGGTCTCCACCTGTGCTCGGGCATGCACTGCAGGCCTCCCAAGCCCAACGGAAGGCCAGCACGGACACAGAGCTGTGCCTGGAGCAAGGCCTCCAGACTCCCAGAGGACAACTGGCCAGCCTGGGCAGGGGAGCTCCAGAGGGCACAGCGTGAGGACCCTCAGTCTTTGGAAACTGGACACCCACAGGAGATGCCTTTTACACGCCCTGCTCCTTCAGGGACAGTGGACAGGCAGCAGTATCTCCTGGGAATGTCAGAACCTGTGGCCTCCTGAGCTTGGCCATCATCCTATGTCCTGGCCCATCCCAGGCCCTGAGCTGTGGGCCATGCTCGAAGCTTGACCATTAGAGATACACGACCACATTTCGTTCACGTCCAGTTCACGATGGCACTCTGACGTGGTTTCAGCCTGAGGGCTTTCTATGGACAAAACCACCTCTAGCTCATGCACAGGTGTGTTTCAGCCCAGAGAAACATGAAGAGACACAGGTTTCAAAGGTCTCCTCCTGAAAGGACCAAAGGCCCTGGGAAGTGTGTGTCTGCTGTCCCTTCACAGGGGGTTTCTTCTCTAGGACCCGGGGGACTGGGCATGGCTTGACCACTGCACCCTTCTGTGGGGAACAGGGCGACAGGAGGCCCCTTGGCTGGGGAGGGTTCCTGGGCTCGAGTTTAGCAGAGCTGCCTTTGAGTGGCTTCTGTGACTTCTGCTCCACTCCTGGACACCTGGTCTTGGGCCAGGGCAGCAGAGCCGTCAGGACACAGGGTCAGGAGAGGCCTCCTCCCACCCAGCATGCAGCCAGCCTACCACAGGAAAGCCCGCTCCCCCACCGTACCCCGTGTCCCAGGCCATGGGAGCACTGCTCACCCTTGTCCCTGACCAGGGCCTCCAGCTCCTCCTTGGTGCTCTCGTGCCAGCGGGGCACGTCCACATGCAGAGAGTAGTCACAGCACGCTGCGCTGTCCGCCCACTCCCGCCACTGCTCGTAGGCTGCCAGCAGGCTCACCCCCGTGTCCGGGAACACGTGGTCCACTGCAGGGACAGCAGAGTCGGCCCGGCTCCCCCACCGGGCGCTGGATCCTACCACCACCTCCAGGGGACATTTGGTCACATGCTCCCAAGAGACCAGAGGGTTGAGGAAATTGCGGCAGAGGGAGGGGCCCCCTCTGCCCCCAACCTGCACCCTGAGTTCCACGTCCCCAGCTCCTCTCTGAGCAAGGCAGTGAGAGAGTCCAAACCACCCACTGCCCAGGAACCTGCTGCACCCCAAGAACCAGGGGCTCTGCCCAGCCTCCACACAGGTGAGCTTCCCTGGGCCCGCAGCAGGGCATTGTCCGTGGTCCTGGCTCCGCGGGCTGCGGCCTGCCCCTGGAGCCCCGCAGCCCTCCCTGGGCCATGCACTCCAGTGACGCCTTCCCAGCCTGCACACACTCTGTGCTGCCTCCCACCAGAGCACTGCCCACCAGGGGCCACTCCCGGGATGTCAGGTGGAGGGACTGGGGCCGCCAGACAGGAAGACCCACCCTGGGCAGGCGAGAGCTCTGCCTCCATCCTGCACGCCTTTCACCTGGGGCTGCGCACGTCCCAGCCCTCAGACCACAGCCGGGACCTCTGGAGGTGGCTGCCTGCTCCCCACCTCAGCTCTCACTCCAGCCCCACACCTGCCCCAGCCTTCCTCCAGTCTCTGTCAGATCTGACCAGCTGTGGCTCCTTCCCTTTCTGACGGGCAAACCAGACCAAGCTGCTATGGTGACAATGGCTGCATGTCACCCACCAAGTGCCAGGGTCCATAGGGTGCCCTCCCTGGCCGTGGCAGCAGCAGCATGCACTGTGCCACGCACACCAGGACTGTGTGTCGACTCCTTCAACCCTCACTCCCCCAAGGGTGTTCCCCCCCTGCTGCACCCCTCAGGAGGGACGCAGGGCCAGGTTCCCTGGGGCTCCCCAGACCACAGAACAGACGGCTGTGCCCGGCACCGCAGGGCCCATGGCTTCCAGGTCACACGGTGTGAGAACAGGCTGGGCGCAGGGCTAATTCCAGGCTCCTGACCTCACCCCGCGCAAGTCCGCGGTGGCCCAGCGAATTCATCACACACGCTTTAGAACAGGGCTCCTCCCTGAGCTCAGGGGACTCAGTGGGAGGGCACAAGGACCAGGGCCACACGGCACAACCCCTCCCCTGGTCCAAGACTTACAGGTTTTCCTAGCCCCCGTCACTGGCTTGCCACAAGCACCCCAGAAGCAGCAACTGGGTACATACCCATGTGCCAAGCACCCTCCTGAGCTGGCCAAGGTCAAATTACCCAGAATGGGAAACAAGGAATGGCAGGAAGCACTCAAGGGTCCCCAGACTGCACCCAGGGGAGAAGACAGAACTGGGAAACCACAGCATGTAGCACACCTGCCGCAGCACATGGCCGCATGTGGCCCCAAGGGGCCCAGACACTCACGTATCATGGTGGTCCCTCCTGCCAGGGCTGCCTTGGTGCCTTGACAGAAGTCATCAGCCGGCGTCATGCCCAGGACAGGCATCTGCAGTCTCGTGTGGACATCGACTCCGCCAGGCAGGACCATGAGGCCATGGGCATCAATGGTTTTAATGCCCCCAGGGACAATGAGGTTTTCTCCAATTTGTCTGAGAGGGACAAGGAGAGACCATTTTGTTCATGGAGAGCCTGGTCAGAATCTGAAGGGGCCTGTGACAGTGCAGTGGCCTGGGAAGTGAGTGCTTGGGCTCCAGCCCTTGAGGACAAGGGCAGGACTCCAGCCACCCACCCCCAGCTTCTTAAATGCCAGAAGGAGCAAAATCTCCCACCCAGTGGCCGGAGACGGGAAGTGCAGGGCCCTGCCCAGATGCTGTTCCCCTCTGGGTTTCTACTGCTGCCTTACTGACCAGGGCTGAGCCACCTGACAGCTATAGCAGAGGAATGGGCAGGCTGCCTGGTAAGTATCTATTAAGCACCTACTATGAGCGTGACACCGTACTAAGTGCTGAGATAACACAAAGAAGCTGTTCTTGTCTCCCAAGGCCCAGTGACCGACTGGCGAGACTATCACCCCCCAGGCCCGGTTCCAGGGAAAGGGGTTTGGGAAAGACGAAAGCGATTACATGGACCTCACCCAAAGGGAACTGCCTGGGTACCGTGCCAGCCATGCACAGGTGACCAATGAAGGTATTTTGAGCAGAAACTTACTTAATCAAACCGTCTTCCACATACAAATCAGCATAAAAGGACTGGTCGTCATTCACAATCTTCCCACCTTTGATCAGGAGGCGGTCACTCTAGTGGAGACAAAACACGGACACTTTTTCTCCAGACTGAGTTATTCAACATTTTTACTGGAGTCATGAAGGAAACCGCTGGGCACAATGCGTGAACACAAAAACAAGCTCAACCCCTGCACCTGTGCACTGTACCCCAAGACGGCGCGCTCAGAGGCAGCAGCCACACAGAGGCCACCCACACAGCCAGGCAGGGTCTAGCAGGCTGGTCTGCCGAAGCACAGGGACACTCCAGGACACAGCCCGTGCTGGTGAACACAGAGGGCTCTGATCATGTCCATCTTCAAATTGGTCCTCTGGCGGGAACCCCGAGGCCTGCTCCCGGCTGTCCTCTTTCCCCCGTGCTGAGGAAGCTGGGCTGGGTCCCACCAGAACGCTGCAGGCCTGCCATGGGGCCGGGAGGTGGGGGGCAGAGCGGGACAGTGGCCGGGGTCCCACCCTGGAATGCTGCGGGGGAGGGACAGAGGAAGCCACAGTACACGTGTGCGAGACCATCATCCTGTGACAGAGAACAAAGAGGTGACTCGACAGGGCGGGAGGGCAGAGGCAGGCTGCCTGGCATGGCAGGAGGCCTTCCTGGAGGCAATGCCCGGGGCGGGTTCCAGGCCAGGAAGCACTGTGAGCAGGAAGGAGCTTGGTTCCTGTCAGACCCAAGAAGAGCAGAGGACGGAGCCTTGTGGGGGAGGGGCGAGGAGCCAGGGCAGACCAGGGCAGGCAGGGCGGGGGCAGAGCTGCAGAGTCCCCCCGGGGCTGGCACTGGGGGCATGAGCAGCTCTGACCAACTGGTGGATGCTGCAAAGGGACGGCCTTGGCTGTGGTGGGAAGTGGACTGCGGTGTAGAACAGGTTCTGCTGGGTGTTTCTCAGGTGGTCCAGGTAGATGGGGGTTATGGGTGCAGGGAGGAACAATGGACGCCAGGGGGCCTGGGAGTCAGAGGGCAGGACTTGCTGGTGGAAAGCCATGGGAGTGAAGGGATGACCATGGTCTGGCTACCTGGAGGCACTCCAAGTAGGTGACCAAGTGCCAGCCAATGAGGCCTGAGTCCAAGGCTTGGCAGCCACAGAACCACTTCTAAGAATCCTACCATGTGGCCAGGAAGGAGGAGCTGGGCAGAAAGTGGGTGTCCCTCGGGGGATTTTGCATGGTCATCAGAGGGGAGCACCTCACCGTCATGGCAGAGAGGACAGAATTACAGAGGAGGAACAGAGGACAAGGCACAGAAGGGCCGGAGTGGTGAGACCACAGTGCTTTCCTTCCGGACCTTGCTGGGCCTCAGAAGCCCCTTGTGTGACGGGGAGAACCAGCTGCACTTAAAGCTGGCCATGGTCCACCATCGGTCTGAGGCCCGAGAGCCACCGGAGAGCAGGAAGAACAGCTCTGGGAGGCCAGGGCGAGGAGCACTATTCTTACTGACACCTGGCTGGGCAGGACCTGCAGTACCTGGCAGGATCTGCTGATGAAAGGTAAAACACTACCACAAAGTCCACAAAGGACAGGCAAACTATGCCGCAGGCCCAATCCAGCTGCTGTCTGTCCCATACCTCCTGGAGGCACCAGTGGCTTTCAAGTTGCATACTGGTTGAACAAAATCAAAACAGTATTTTGTTGACTTGTAAAATATTTAGTTTTGTTAGAATACTGCCCAGGAATTGCCTCTTCCAGGGCTTCCCAGGTGTGACCGAAACAATGTGGTTCCCAGAGCTGAAGACACCACCTGGCCCACGGTAGAAGCAGCTGGCTAATCCCCTCCCCACCTCACCCTGCAGGCACTCACCGCCCATCAGCACTGAGCACTAGCCTCAGTGGGAACCCATCACAGCCACCCGCTGTTGGGCCCTTGTCCCCACCCACCTCCTCATGGACCAACTCATTCTCTGCAAACCCTAAGAAGATCCAAGCAGAAAAGGGGAGAGTTGGGGCCAGGAGAGACCTATGATCTGGGGTTTCTGTTCACGTCTCCACTTTTCAGGCACCAGAACTTGGATTCTGGGGTCTTCTTTGGGCTTGGAGCCAACAGGAATGAGCTAAGCTGTGGTAGACACTCAGGATGCTCTACCAGGATGGGGGAGACTGATGTGAGCAGGCAGCCTCCTCCTAGGCACTGCTGCCTCACCACCTGGAGGGTCCACCTTGGTGCCCCCTGGCTGATGGGACTTCTTCCTCAGGCTTGGACCAGGCAGGGCTGTGGGCAGTCCGAGGCAGGAGCCCCTCCTGTTCAGTTGGAGGGGCCTGGAGAGGCCCTTCCCCTTTGAGTTTCTCAGGAAGGAATGACACTTCTAAAAGCTAGTGGCCTACATGCCAGACTCCACCACCCTCCTGCTGAGGAGAAGCCCAGAGTTGGCTCTGAAGCCTTTCGGGTCCAGAGGATCCCAGGAGCCTCTCTCCCTGCTCTCCTTCCCGGGGCTCTGGCTCCCACGGGGAGGCTTTGTTTCCCGGCAAGGCAAGGTGGAGAGCTGGACCTCCTCCACAGGGTGCACCTGTGGGTGTGGGGAAGGGGGTCTGTCTTGCCAAAGGCTGGGGCTGCAGGGTGCGGTCAGTGGACAGCGAGTGCTCGCCTCTCTTGGAATCTCCAAACTCGGGCTTCCTGGAGGGGTTCAGGGGCCTCCAGGGGCTCTCGGCCAAGCAGCCAAGGCTAAATCGCTTTGTTTTTCGACAAAGAGCTCTGGATGACACAGAGGCCAGTCCAGGGGGCCGGCGGCGGTCCGCGGGCTAAGCCAGGAACGGCATCCGCGCGACCGCGAGGCCCAGCGGTCAACAAAGGCCTCTTCCGCCAGCCGCCCAGAGAGCCCAGCTCTTGCTGCCCAGTCCGCCCACCTCGCCAGCCCGGCCCCGGGTAAGACAGCCTCCTTCAGCTTCCGGAGGCAGGCGCTCGCGGACCGGGCTCTGCCCGAGCTCTCTGGAGGCTCCGGAAAGCAGGCGGACCGGGCCTGCGCGCCCACTCAGCATCTGAGCCCGGCGCGGCCTGGCGGGCACTCCAGTCTCCAGACGGGTCTAGCGCCAGCGCCCGGACTGAGCTCGCGCGGGGGCGGACCCACAGGCAGGACCGAGAGGGTCCGCCCCGCAAATAGGCCCATTCTGGGGGCTCCTAGCGAGGCGGGGGCCGGAACCGGGCTCACCGTGATCCGGGGGATGCTCTTCTTGCCCTGGAAGGACATCCTGTTCTGCAGGCTGGCCCGATCCTGGCAGGGGCAGCGCGAGCGTGGGCGAGCGAGCGGGGACACGCGCGGTGAACAGCGTGAGCGTGGGGCGCGGAGCCGCTGAGTGCGAGCGCGCGGGGCGCAGGGCTCGGGTCCCCGCCCCCGTCTCCGCCCCCGCAGCGGTGATTTTTGCATTTAGGCTCCGCCCCGACGCCGCTCATTTGTACTAAGGTCCCGCCCCGTGTCAGCTCCCCAACCTCCCGTCCCAGCGTACCCTGCCGCCACTGGCTGGGATCTTTGCACCTCGAACCCGAAGCCGTGCGTGCTGAGGAGGAGGGCTGCCACCTGACCCTGACGTCGTGTACAGTTTGCACCCCGGGAACGGAGTGGGGGAGGTCGGGCAAAGTCCTGCCAGACCCCGCTCCTGGCCTGCCCCTTGGTGACTGCACCCTGGCTCCAGGGTTTAAACCAAATCTCGCCGCGGGATCCCGGAGTCCTGGGAGAGGTCTCCGACCAAAGCCAGCCTCCTCGGGAGGACCTGGGCTGGAGCGCGAGCACAAGGCAGTGTCCGGACCTCAGGACCAGGCTGTGGAGGCGCCACCCTCGGGCGGTTCCAGAGCGGCCCCGCGAAGCGGGTCGGGAGAGACGCAGACAGATAAAGAGTGCGGCATAGAGAGGCCGAGAAGGATGGGGACCAGGAGGCGAGGCCGGGTGGGGGGTCGCAGGATGAAGTCCAGGCCCCAAGGGGGAGGGGGAGGGGGAGGATGAGCTCCAGGCCCACGCTGTCAGCGTGACTGTGAGGCGTCTCACGGAGTCGTGGCCCGCATCCCACCCGCACGGACCCCTCAGCTTGGGACCTGAGTCCTGCAGCCTCTACCTGCGAAGGGCTGCCGGCCTGGGCCACGACGGGCTGCCCTCGGTGACTGGCGGCGGCTACCGGGTCCTCTACACCTGGCTCGCCGGGTCTCTCCGAGTGGCCACGTGTCTCACGGTGAGGATCCTTGGCCCGAGAGCTCTGGTGAGGGTCCCGAAGAGCGTCCAGGGGCAGCGTCTTGTTCTCAAAGGCATCCTCCACCCCACGGAAGGCGCCGCTGAACTTGGGCCTGGCTGGAAGCCTAGCAGGCGCGTGCGGACGCGGTGCGGTCATGGCAGCAGTGGGCGCCAGCCGGCCAGGTAGCCTAGTCTCTTGAGGGAGGTCTGCGGTGCGCGTGGACTGGCCTGGCTGGTGGCCTCCTCTTCTCCCCGCCCACCACGTACCCCCAGCCCCCCAGCCGGGCCGTGTGGAGCTGACGCTGTCCACACAGCGGGTGCTGAACACTAGCGCCTGGTTCAGGAAGTGGCTTGGCCTGGCCCTCAGGGCATAGGTGGGCTCGGACTTCCACTCCACACGCTGGAGGCTGGAGGCGCAGTGGTGGGAGCGCACATAGGAGAAGCCGCTGTCCACAGGAACACCCGCCACTCTCCAGACCCCTTGTGAGAGCTCACACCGGCCAAGGAGGTCTTGACTTCCAATCATCCACAAGTGGACCCTCTGGGGATCCGCGCGCAGAAGCAGCTCCAGACCTCCCTTAACCAAGTAGAGGATTTGTTTGAGACAAGGCGGAGGGGCCCTCCTCCCGCCCAGAGATCACAGGGCGAGGCCTTGTTCTATGGAGCCCGCCGCGACTGATTTGGAATGAAAGGACCCCAGCCTTTCAACTGTACAGCGCGCACTTCAGAGCGAATTCGCACAGAGTTACTGCAGCGCTGGTTATGCCCGATGACACACGCACATCAGGAAGCCTAGCCCAACACCTTCTCTCAGACCCTTGTCCTACTCTGGAATTCCACCCCCCCAAACCAGTCCATAAAACCTCCTTCACTCACAGGTGTGCGTCCCCCAATGAGCATCCCACCTGCTCTTGCTCATGAGCAGGCATCCTTTCCCTGGTCTAAAGTTACTTGAATTATTTTTTCTGGTTCGAATTTGACAGGTGCCACCAGGTACCTCTGGTTACAGAGGTGCTCCCCTCAGGTGCCTTTAGATTCTGAGGATGAAATTGCAGGTAAGGCCCGTGTCCCCTCCTCAGAGCGCTGAAGGCCCAGATCCCTTTCTGGTGGGGAAAGAGGCTTTTTCCCCCCAGAGGTTGGACACAGCAACGCAGAAATGGCTAATATAGCCCATAAACTCAAATTTTAATAATCCATAGGGGGACTTTGATATTCTAAGATTTAAAACAATTTTTATTAAAACTGTACAATAATTTACAAAGGAGTAAAAATTCTCTGGTATATATCATAGGAATCACAATACAAAAATATGTGTAAAATTTTGTAGTTGATCACCATACAAACCTAGTTTAGGCCTGTGGATATTGTTTAGCACTGAACAGAAATCACATGTTTAGAATGTGGTTATTAAGTAATTGCTTCAGAGAGCACAAATACTAACTGGCTTTTTGCCATGAGAAAACAAGTCTTGTTCATTTTTGCATAAATTTACAATAAAGCTTTTTAAAAAATATACAGTAAACAAATATATGCTTTGATACATATATTCACAATATGATTTTCCTGAGCCTGAACTTAAATTCATTACTGTGTTAAAACACACAACCCATCTCGAGGTTTCAGTGATGGAGTGATGGTAAGTGCTAATCAGCTCTCCAAGCCTCAAAGCCACCCTCACATCCCCACCCCAACTCCCAGTCCGTGTTTACAAGCTGCATAAGGCACTCAGGTTTCCTGAAGGCTACAGATTCTGCAAGGGCAAAGGCCTTGAGACACAGCCCAAGGCCTTCAGCCACTGGGGCCTAGACCATGGGTGCAAGGCCAACACCACGGGGGCCTCCACCAGGGAATCTGCAGCCTACATGAATTTCCATTTTAGGTAAACCAGACGCTCGCTCACATCACTCTGCTGTGCACACCGCGCGCTGGGCTGATAACTGCTATTGGACTGTGATGTGGATGTCCCTGTCTCGGTGACATGGTCAGCAATCCTGCCAGCCTTTCATGATCTCTCCTCCTGCCTCCTCAGGCAGTGCCACTTAGGCAGATCTCTCCTGTTTGAGGAGCTACCAGGAAGAGCGCAAATGCTCAAGGAAGTTCAGTCCAGCACACTATTTGGAATAGCAGGTACAAAGTGGGATTTAGAAAATGTGCACCATACTTTAAAACACTTGAACTCTTCAGACGCTCATCGGCCCAGCAGAATCAGTGATAAATGCTAATATCTTCCTTTTCTTTTTTTTTTGGCAAAAGCCCAGTTCTGATTTTGTAATCAGATGAAGAGAAAGTGCCTATGACATATGAATGGGAATAATGGTATCTAAAGAGAGGAATGACAGTCCTAGTGTGTGCTTTTAGGCGTGTGGCAGGGGTGCCGCTGCAGTTTGGTACATGGGTGTTATTTAAGACATTCAGCAGCCATTTTCCTTTCCTATGTACATACTTTTACATATAGACAATAACAACTTCATAAGCATTTGTACATATTTACATGCATTTCCTTCCTGTATAGTTAGCCTTTAAAAAACAATTACAGAACTGTGATTTAGAGCATCCGGGTTGGTGGGAGGGTTTACGAAGCCTTTAGACCTATACCCAACATGCAAATCACGATGATCTCATCAATCCGGAGGGATTTGAATTTGGGCAAGTCTGAGAGTACATCTGTAGATCCTAGTCGGCTGGTGTTCTTTTGCAGGTACACACTGGACCAGCCCCAGGTGCTCCTCCTGCAGAGGAGGCCAGGCTGGGGGAGCCAAGTGCAGTGACCTGTTTGTAGAAGCCCGCATGGTGGAGTCCTCCAGGCCTAACCCCACGCTCATCCATGGCTCTGTGGCAGCTTTTATTAATACAGGCTATTGTTTGCCATTCAGTTCTGAGTACAATGAATGTGCCAAGAGGGTGCAGTCTTTAAAATGAGACCAAACCACGCCTGGAGGGATGAATGAGATCCCAGACTGGAGACAATCCCTGACATCAGGCTCACCTAGGCAGGCACCCAACTGGGCCAGCACCTTGGCCAAGTGAGTCAGGAGCTATGACTTGAATGACACAGAAAGGATGGGTCCTTTTTGGATGAGTGTAGTTAATATTGTTTTTCCCAGCAGAAATTCTGCACCCACCAAAAAAAAACAAAAAAAAAACAAAAAAAAAAGCATATCTGTCTGCTCCGATAAGCTTTCCCTGGTTTCCACTTAGGGAACCAGGCTGGTCCTCCAGCACTCGGCCATCGGCACCAGAGCGGAAGACTTCTTCTGACATCGATGCAGAATGAACCTAACGCTTTCAGACAACACGGCCATTCCTCCCTCCAGCGAGTGGCTTTTAAAAGAATCTTAATGCAATGCTGCATGTTGCATGCACACCTGGCTGCGTACCTCACTCCTGGGCATCAACCTCTAGATGCTCAAAGGGCTCACATCCCAGCGCCATGCTCTGGTGGAGTGAGCACATGCACGTACCCTCACACACAGCTCTTCTCTCAGCTCTAGAGATGGTGACCTTGGACTGCCATGGATGGGATGGCAACAGGACTGCCTCCGACCAGAGAGTCAACTCGTCCACATGCTGCACTTCTGGGCTGTGGATGGGATCACAGCAGGACCGGAAACCACTTAGAGCTGCCTTCATCAACATGCTGTCTTCTCTCTGAAAGAGTGGACATGAGTGACTTCTCGGTTAACGTGTCTGAGGCACGCTGGGACGGCATGGGTGGGGCGTGCAGGAGGAGCACCAGGGGAGGCTCTGATCAGCCTGGCCCTGCCCGTGGACAGTGAGGTGCCCGGGGTGCTGGCTGTAGGGACGGCACAGCTGTGGTGTCAAAGCAGGAGCCTGCAGCCAGGAGAGGCCATGGCTCTGCCAGAGCACCACGTGCTCACACCCGAGGCTCTGCTCTTCGGGAAGCCGCCTGCAGCCGTGGTCCTGGTGGCCAGGAGAGCCACCTGCACTTCCACCCGTTTCATTGCTTCTCATCACTTAGAAAGCGGGCCTCTGCCAGGTTCTGACTCCTTATCACATGGGGGTGAGGGGCCCCACCTGAGGCCACAGGCAGTGGGATCTGCAGTTCCTGATTCAGGTGGTCGGGAGGTTATTTTTGTTGCTTCAACCTGTCTTCCTCACAGAGGATGAAAACAGGTGGTCACATCACACTGATTGCCAACCCTCCCACTGAGCTGGAAATCACTGCAATTAAAGTCACATGCTGCTCTCTGTGCAGGTAACCAGGCTCACTTCTAGGCAGGCTGGCACCCAATCACCTTTTCTTGGAATTTCCAGCCAGCCTCAAGAAAAGCTGAAGCCCCCAGAGAGCACCCAAGGTGACCCCTGCAGGCTGACTGGAGCAGGTCCTGGCCACCGGCAGCACCTCTCGCCACGTGGCTGCCCCTCTGAATCACATGATCACCTGCCCAGGCTGAGAGCTACACGCAGGCAAACATGGAAGAGAAATCTTGTCAAAAATAGTAGGCAGAGTTCTAAAACAGTATGCATTTCCTAAAAAGTCACTCCCCAGATTGCAGGGATGAGACAGGGCATGGGCACCTGTGACACTGGACAGCTCCCGGAGCCCATTGTGCCCCACTGTCCACCCTTCTCCGTTCACTGCCACTGTGTCCAGAGCAGGTGGCTTCCTGCCTCGCCACACTGCACCACACCACACAACGCACACGCTCCACACACAGACACCGCGCCGTCTCCAGGTATCCAGGCCCCCTAAGCCCCTCTGCCCTGCGTTCTCCAGGCCTGTCCTCTCTGGGGATGTGACATCCTCCCTCCCCCTCACCCCTTCCCCAGTCACTGCCTCACACAGCCAGGCAGGATCTCAGCCAGATTGGAGCCACACAGGAGAGCAGGAGTGGGACCGTCTCGCGTTTCTGACCTGGGTCTTAGTGGCCTCCAGGGCTCCTTCGGACCCCACATGGGCTCTGGCCCAGTGCATGGTCAGCCCCCCAAATTCCTTGCTGATGAGTGTCCTTGTGGACAGGGGGCCTGAGTGCTGTCCACAGAAGGGCCTGTCTGCCAGGTGGCCCTGGGCTGGCATCTGAAGCATCCGAGTGATAAGGCTGGGCCTGCCCAGACTGTGGAAGTGACGTGACTCACAAACCCCGCTCTCCTTCAGAGGCCTGGCACTACGGTGGGTGGAGAGTGCCCTTCTGAGCAGCCCCAGAAAAGCCCCCGATTCTGCAGCCCCAGTCTGCAGGGAAGAGGGGCAGGAGCTGAGTGTAGAGGTGAGAGGACACAAGAGGAGCCTCAAGGCTGTGGAGGGGCGGGTGGCGTGTGCTGGTGCCTTGGACCAGAGGCGGGGACCGGCGCGTTCCTGTGTAGTGTGACGAGTTACGTCAGGGTGAGCAGGAGCCATAGGGCTGCCCTCCGTCGAGGCGTGAATCCCATGCAGTTCTAACCCAGGCTGCAGTGAGGATGGACGAGGCTCTGGGGGTGAGCTCATCACCAAGTGTGATGGAAAACAAGTGCGGCAGGGACAGGGCAGCAGGTGTCTGACTGTATCGCCTCCCGGGCTGGTGGCAGGGCCCCTGAAAGTGGCAGAAGCAGTGCCACCGGTGTGTGCCGAGTGGAGTGGTGCAGATGGGCCGGGAAGCAGCGTTCTGGATTATGTCAACACAGAGCTGGGAGCAGGCCCCCGCCGTCTGTGTTTGCACTGGGGATTTCCACGGGGTCTCGCCGATGGAAAACACCAAGCTGCTGGCTGCGAGGCAAGCACCTTCTGGGGCCCAGAGGCAGCTTGGTTCAGAGCCAGCTGCAGATGGTGATGCCTTCTACAGCTCCGGACCCAAGCCTCACCCAGGGCTTCCAGAGACGTACCAAGGCGGGACTCCTGGCGGGTGAGCCTGCTGGGGGCTCCTCCTCTGCCCCCCACACTGTGCCGGCACCCCCAAGCCACACATGCACACTGCCAGCTGGTGGGGTGCTGGAGAGGGGCCGACGGCCTTCTTCACGTGCTCGCTGGCTCGGGGAGCCCTCGGCAGACATCTCCAAACCCCACACAACCGCGGCCACACGAGACCCTAGACCACCCAGCAGCCGGCGCTGATCCTCCCCTGCCTGGCTCTGTGGGGTCTCTCCCTCAACCTGAGATGGCTGCCAGCGCTGTCATCCAACCCCTGCCTGCCAGCCTCGTCCCTGAGGTCACCCTCGCCCAGCTCTCATGGAGGAGAGCCCCATGTGGCCCAGATGCTGGGATGGCCCCTCTACCCCAGGGAAGAACACCGCCATGCGGGCCCTGGGCCTCCCTCTTCCTGTTTGACAGCTGTCTAACAGTAACTAATGAAGAGTGGACACTTCTACAGAGCACTCAACTCCAAGTGACGAGCTCGAGTGGGAAGCAAGGGAACCCACCTCCCCAGGCCCAGCCCCCCACCCAGCTGCTCCCCGTGAAGATTGGCAGACGAGACGGGATGTGAGGAGAAGGCTGGGCCACTGCCTGGAAGCAGAGGGTCCTCTCCTGCCCAGAGTTGCCCTCTGGTGGCCTCTATTTTGGAAGATCCAGGGAGCCAGGAGCCAGTAGGCCTGAGTCTTCCTGAGCAGGTCACCCTGGGACTGACCCAACTAAGACCGAGTGACGTGCTGCAGCAGAGGGGGCTGCAGCTGAGGTGTCCGTCAGGTGAGGAGAAGAGGAGGGGAGAGAAGAGACAGGAGGCAGCCTGGCACAGGGGACGGAGAGGGAGCGGGGCCCCAGGCTGGACGGAGGGTGCTAGGCACGCTGGAGCTGCCCTTGCTCGAGGGCTGGGCCAGCATCTCCCAGAGAGGACATGCTGTGTACCTCTGCCCCCGCCTGTGCTGGCTATGGGAGGGTGTGCCTGCAGCATGGCATGGCCGTGGCTCTGTGGCCACACTGCCCAGGAGGGCCCTGGCGGTCAGCTGCCTCCCTCTGCTTGGCTGAGAGGTGACTTAGAGCCTCTTGCGGCCTCTTTGTTCACAGATGGCTTCTGACTGTGGCAGAGGGAGGCAGCCAGGCTGCTCTGAGCTGTGAGTCCTGATCTGAGGGCCCAGACCACTGACGGGGGCTCAGTCCACACTGGCAGTGCATGGACATGGGCCATTCCCTGGGGTGTGCCTATGCATGTGCCTGGCCTCTGAGGGCAGGGACATAGGCACAGAAAACACAGCCCCTGTACCGCAGTCCCCTCTGCCACCCGCCTACTCATGGCCACTCAGCTGTGGGCAGGGGGGCACAGCTCTGTTCCTGCACAGAAGCCTCTTCACTGACTCACGGGAGGATTACTAGAGTGAGGGCCATGCCCGGGAAGGAGAAGGGGTCATTCCAGCATGGTGGCAGGACAGAAGATCCTGGGCTTTGTTCATGGTACAGGGATGGGTCAAGGCTGGTGCCTTCACCAACTCTGCCTGTGATCCTGTCGCCAACCACCTAAGCACTGGGACGTGTCAAGCCTGCATTATCCCAGAGTGCCCTGGCCAGGGTGGGCACCTCAGGCAATGGCCCGAGGGTGTTAGAAACCAGCTCAGCCCTTCTCTCCTGGAGGGAGGAGCTGGCTTGCTCTGATGTGGGGACAGGACCTGGGGCTAGTCAGGAGAGCTCAAGTGGAGACTGACTCCATTGCCCAGCCTCCTAGGCCTCTGCCTGACCACACACAAGCACCTAAAGCACGGTGGTGCTGACACACACAGCCATATGCACAGGACCCATCCCAAGAGCTGGCCCCCACCCCACGCACACCCCAAGGCACAAGCGCATGCACACACCCACTGCCCGTCGCCCTCAGCTGCCGGCTTCCTTTCCTATCTGGGTCACAGGCAGCTGCGTGCCGTCCTGGGAGGGGTGCCCAGCTCCCTGTCCTGTCACTGGCTCTCTAAGAGTGACGTGACTTATTAATGGCCTCGTGGCTGCATAATAAAAGGGTCCATTAATGCTCAGATCAAGATGTGCACACTGTGGACAGCAGACAGCTGGCCTGCAGGCCGGACGCTCCCAGCTGACAGGAGGGAACCAGACCACAGGGCCGTGGGAAGCGGGGTGCGCCTTCGGGTTCCAGCCAGTTATTCAACTTCTGTCTGAGGCTTGGTGCACACGGCCCAGGGACATTTGGGGATCGTCTTTCCTGTGTGGTAAAAACACAAGGATCTGAACAAAGGGCAACCGTGAAAGCCTGAAGCCGAGCTGAGCCAGAGAGGGTCGGGAAGCCCCTCGAGTTGGACCTCCGTGTCCCTGCAGCTCCAGGAGGGGCGCCTTCTCGAGGACGTCAAGGGCGTCACTCACAGAGGCAGGGTGGCCGGAAGGTGCAAGAGCAGAGAGGTGACGTCCCCATGAAGTCACTGCTGTCCCTGGGTGAATCTCAGCACACAAGTGCAAACAAACACCCCAAAGACACCCTTTAAGCAAAGATTTAAAACCACGTGTCAGCTGCAGTGCTCTGGGGAGGGCCTGGCTGACCCCCATGTTAGAGGTGGGTGCTGGACCCCCACAGCCACAGCCACAGAAGAGCAGCCTCGTGACAGTGGCTGTCATGGACTACAGCCAGCCTGTGGCAGGCACCAGCCGCAGGGTCAACTGAGGGAGCTCCTGTGGTGAGGGACGGGGGACGGCCTGGCCACTGCTTCTGAGTGGCAAGTGCAGCCAGCCCACCAAGCTGCCTGCGGCTGACTGCATAGGCTGTCACCGGCCACCTGCCTCAGCT